CGCCCGTACGCACGCCCGCCCCCCTGCCCATCCGCCCGTCCATCTGATCTCCTGGCCGCCTGCCCATCTGCTCGCCCAAATAATTATATTATTTATAATTTCCTGTTTTAAGAAAAAAAATGTTTGTGTTAATAACCCGTATATGTAAAAGACAGGTTATGCTAGTTAAGTAAATGCAATATGAGTTGAATAAATTTTTTTTGACTTTTTGTTGTTACAGGTATGTGACTGAAATTCTCGGAGGACAAAAGTGTGTTTCCTGCTCTTCTGTCCTACCTGCTTTTTGCCATCTTTCTCAGGTGATGGACAGCTCAGATGATGATCCTGTCTACGTGGTCAGTTTCAAGTCTACACTTAAAGCAGACCAGGAGGCATGCAAGCAAAATGCCAACACTGCATATCTGAAGATTGCTACTGCATTAGATCCAAGATTCAAAGATCTGAAGAGCATACCCAGACTTGAGAGGGATGAGGTGTGGGTCTCAATCCTTCATTTGCTTAAAGAAAGCCAGGATGCTGCAAAGAAACCTTTGGATGCAACATCAGAGCCACCAAAGAAAAAGTGTGCCTGCTTCATCAGAGTCTGACTCTGAAGAAGATGAAAAGTCATTTGAGAACACTTTGTCTCGCTACAAAACGGAGCCCACTATCAGTACAGATGCCTGCCCCTTAGAGTGGTGGTCCTAACACACAGGAGCATACAGGGGACTGGCCTTTACTGCACAGAAGTACTTGGCCACACCTGCAACGTCTGTCCTTTGTGAAAGGTTATTTTCTCTTGCCTGTCATGTTGTACAGAAAAAGAGTTTCTTTGTCATCTGAAAATGTTTATGAACTTGTTTGTCTCAACAACTGGCCTGGTGCAGAGGAGTGAGAAAGGTAGAGTTGGTTGATTGTTTTTTTTGTCTTTTGACTGAAGTTTCCTTAAAGGAAATCCAGAGTAATCAGGTGCTATAAAGAGTAAAATCTCTTTTGCACAGTTAATTCTGTTTTATTATTATTGTGTTTGCACTTGAACTTTTGCAAAAGGTACACTTTATGTTAAATGTGAATAGTTTTTTTGTTATTATGCTCTCTGACTTAAATAAATGTTTCTGCTTGTAATCTTTCAGAAATAAATGTATGAATAGTTCTTAAGCAGTTGTTAATCTAGTAAGATTGTGGGGTTACTTTGAACTCATTTTTATTTCTCTAAAGAAGAAAATCTATGCCCTGGAAAAACCTTTGTTTCATATATTTAAATAGGGGATCTCTGATGCTTATGTTAATTAACAGTTTCACTTCAGTCTCTCCAGTGACCAGCAAAATTAAATAATTCAAGTAAAAATAAATAGTGCAATCATGCAATCCAAAAATCAAAATAAGTGCTTTAGGTCACTTTCTGAAAGACCACCAAAAACTTGGTACAATTTTATCAGTCCATATAATTCTCTGGCAATAAAAAAGTGCCATTTTAACAATAGTAACAGTAGTTTACATTAACTCCAGATTTTTGCATTAAGCAAAAAACATTAACAAGACCTGAGGTAGAAGAATAATTGTAGCTAATTAGCTAAACTATAAAAAAATTAAAAAATGACACTGAGTGCAATCAAACTTGAACAGTTAATTTTCCAACAGGATTAAATAATAGTCTCTTGTAAAGTGTAAAGTAGGCATTGAAGTGCAGGAATGTGAGCATACAGGTGCTGGTCATAAAATTAGAATGTCATGAAAAAGTAATTTATTTCAGTAATTCCATTTAAAAAGTGAAACTTGTAT